CACCATGTGAGTGAGAGCACTCACCCCACCATGAGAGTGAGAGCACTCACCCCACCATGAGAGTGAGAGCCCCCTCCCCACCATGAGAGTGAGAACACTCAGCGCACCATGAGAGTGTGAGCTCTCACACCAACCATTAGAGTGAGAGCACTCACCCCCACCACTAGAGTGAAAGCACTCTCCCCACACCGAGAGTGAGAGCCCCCTCCCCACCATGAAAGTGAGAGCACCCTCCCCACTATGAGAGTGAGAGCACTCATCCCACCATGATTGAGAGCACACACCCCACGATGAGAGTGAGAGCATTCACCCCACCACGAGAGTGAAAGCACTCTCCCCACCATAAAAATGAGAACACTCACCCACTATGAGAGTGAGAGCATTCACCCCACAATGAGAGTGAGAGCACTCTCCTCACCATGGGTGTGAGAGCTCTCTCCCGACCATGAGTGAAAGCACTCCCCCACCATGAGAGTGAGAGCACTCTCCTAACCATGAGAGTGAGAGCACTTAGCCCACAATGAGAGTGAGAGCACTCTCCCCACCGTGTGAGTGAGAGCACTCACCCCACTATGAGAGCCCCCTCCCTACCGTGAGAGTGAGAGCACTCACAGCACCATGAGAATTAGAGCCCCTCCCCACCATGAGAGTAAGAGCACTCACCCCACCATAAGATTCAGAGCCCACTCCTCACCCTGTGAGTGAGAGCACTTAGCCCACCATGAGTGTGAGAGACCCCTCCCCACCATGAGAGTGCGAGCACTCACCCCAACATGAGAGTGATAGCACTCAATCAATCATGAGAGTAAGAGCACTCACCCTACCAAGTGAGTGAGAGCACTCACCCTACCATGAGAGTGAGAGCACTTAACCCACCATGTGAGTGAGAGCACTCTCCTCACCATGAGAATGAAAGCACTCTCCCGACCATGAGAATGAGTGCACTCACACCACCACGAGAGTGAGAGCACTCTTCCCACTATGAGATTGAGAACATTCACCCCAACCATGAGAGTGAGAGCTCTCACCCCACCATGAGAGTGAGAGCACACTCCCAACCATGAGAGTGAGACCACTCTCCCCATAAGGATAGTGAGAGCACTCACCCCACCATGCGAGTCAGAGCACTCTCCCCACCATGAGAGTGAGAGCCCCCTCCCCACCGTGAGAGTGAGAGCACTCTCCCCACAATGAGAGTGAGAACACTCACCCCACTATGAGAGTGACAGCACTCTCTCGACCGTGAGAATGAGAGCATTCTCCCCACCATGTGAGAGAGAACACTCACCCCAAAATGAGAGTGGGAGCACTCACCCCACCATGAGAGTAGGAGCTCTTTCCCCACCATGAGAGTGAGAGCTCTCACCCCACCATGAGACTGAGAGCACTCCGCCCACCATGAGAGTGAGAGCACTCTCCCAACTATGAGAGTGAGAGCCCTCTCCCCACTATGAGAGTGAGAACACTTTCCCCACAAGGAGAGTGAGAGCACTCTCCCCACCATGAGAGTGAGAGCACTCTCCTTACCATGAGAGTTAGAGCACTCTCCCACCATGAGAGTGAGAGCACTCACCCCACCATGAGAGAGAGATCACTCTCCCCACCATGAGTGAGTGCACTTTCCCCACCATGAGAGTGAGAGCACTCTCCCGACCGTTTGAATAAGAGCACTCTCCCCACCATGAGAGAGAGACCACTCACCCCACCATGAGAGTGGGAGCACTCCACCGACCGTGAGAATGAGAGCACTCTCCCCACCATGAGAGTGAGAACACTCACCCCAATATGAGAGTGAGAGCAATCACCCCATTATGAGAGGTAGAGCACTCTCCCCACCATGAGATTGAGAGCACTCTCCCCACCATGAGAGTGAGAGCACTCACCTAGCCGTGAGAGTGAGAGTATTCACCCCACAATGAGAGTAAGAGCACCCTCCCCACCGTGTGAAAGAGAGCACTCACCCCACCATGAGAGTGAGAGATCCCTCCCCACCATGACAGTGAGAGCACTCACCCTTCCATTAGAGTGAGAGCCACCTTTCCACCATGAGTGTGAAGGCACTCATCCCACAATGCGAGTGAGAGCACTAACCCCACCATGAGAGTGAAAGCACTCAACCCACCATGAGAGTGAGAGCACTTACCCCAAAATGAGAGTGAGAGCACTCAACCCACCATGAGAGTGAGAGACCCATCCCCACCATGAGAGTGCGAGCACTCACCCCACCATAAGAGTGATAGCACTCATCCAATCATGAGAGTGAGAGCACTCACCCCACCATGAGAGTGAGAGCACTCTCCCCACCATGAAAGTGAGAGCACTCTCCTCACCATGAGAGTGAGAGCACACACTCCACCAAGTGAGTGAGAGCACTCACTCCACCATGTGGGTGACAGCACTCTCCTCACCATGAAAATGAAAGCACTCTCCCGACTATGAGAATGAGTGCACTCACCCCACCAAGAGAGTGAGAGCACTCTCCCCAACATGACATTGAGAACATTCACCCCAACCTTGAGAGTGAGAGCACACTCCCAACCATGAGAGTGAGACCACTCTCCCCAACATGAGACAGAGAACACTCACCCCACCATGTGAGTGAGAGCACTCACCCCACCATGAGAGTGAGAGCCCCTTTTCCACCATGAGAGTGAGAGCACCTAACCCACCATGAGAGTGAGAGCACTCTCCCCACGATGATAGTGAGAGCCCTCTCCCCACCGTGAGAGTGAGAGCCCTCTCCCCACCATGAGAGCGAGAGCACTCACCCCACAATGAGAGTGAGAGCACTCACCCCACCACGAGAGCGAGAGCCCCCTCCCCACAATGAGACTGAGAGCACTCAATTTCACCATGAGAGTGTTACGGACCTGAGTCTAACGTCCGGGCACGGAGCAGTGACGACAACGCCATCTGTGGGTCAGCTCCCGAAACCCCCTCCAAAGGGACGACGCCATCTAGTGAGGACGGGATATACCGGCCGCAGGGGCTTGATTCCCGTCTTAATTAGCTCGTAACATAGCCGCTGCTGACCTCTGGTGAGGGGGCGCTTAGACAGCAACGCCATCTATGGAGTGGACGTTTGTGTCTAAGCCTGTAAGTGAGGTGCCCTAGAGTGTAACCAGTACTAATGACGTGTCTGATTACTGAGTCGACCTGGGACTGCTCTATTGGACGATGAGGCAGTCTACCCAAGGCAGCCATAGTCTCTCCACGTGTTTGCTGCAGAAGCTGTGAGTTGCTCCCGGAGGAACACTGCTAAGAGTGTTAGCCTGCCTGTGACGTGGCAGAGTTGAGGAATAGTCGTACCTGGGGGTTGACAAGTGGAAGACACTAGCCACTGTGGTGCTATAGAGAGGAGAGTGATCAGCGGAATCCCACGAGGCTCCTGCCTAGGGCTCGCAACCCTAGTATCGGTCGTGGAGTGGCCTACGCAGCGGAGCTGATTGGAACCAGCCTGCTACAGGCTGGATTTGTGGTTGAAGGCCTCCACGACGGTGCACCCAGTGGGACTGTGATTTAGCTGGCCTGTGGCCAGGGTAGATTCGCCTAGAGAATCAAAGGATTCATCGTGAGGCCACGAGAAGAGAACCAGGGCTACTCATCTTGAGCACCGTAGAGCATCCTGTGTCTTCAGAGGAAGACAAGTTGTTGTATATAAGTGTAGTTATAGCCCCAGTGAGTGACTGTGTTACGGCCCTCTTGGGTCGCAACTGGGTCTTTCTCTGATGTTAATAGAGTTTGGGTATCCAGCCCGAAGTTAGTAGTGGCTTTCAAGGGGTGTGTTCCGTAACGCAAGTAAATTAAAGGGGAAGGGAGACAAAGGCAAAAACTTAAATATATAATTATCACCGTCACCATAAATAATATATATCTTATCACACGGGGGAGGTATAAACACTATTATATACAATCTGGTCTTCCTCTGAAGACGCGGAGTGTTCCACGGTGCTTAATGATGCTTAACTCTTGGTCCTCTTGTGGCCTCACGATGAATCTTTAGATTCTCCCAGCGAGTCTACCCCGGCCACAGGCCAGCCAAATCACAGTCCCACTGGGTGCACCGTCGTGGAGGCCGTCAACAACAAATCCAGCCTTTAGCTGGCAGGTTCCAATCAGTTCCGCGGGTTAGGCCACTCCACGACCGATACTAGGGTTGCGAGCCCTAGGCAGGAGCCTCGTGTGACTTCACAGGTCACTCTCCTCACCACAACACCCCAGTGGCTATTCTTCTCCACGAGTCAGCCCCGGGTACGACAATTCCTCAACTGCCACGTCACAGGCAGGCTAACACAACAGTGTTCATCCGGGGGGGTGACTCAACTTCTGCAGCTAATACTTGGAGACTTTACGGCTGCCTTGGGTAGACTGATCCAACTTCCATTACAGCAGTCCCAGGTCGACTCTGTAATCAGACACATCATCAGTACTAGTTACACTCTAGGGCACCTCACTTACTGGCTTAGACACAAACGCCCACCTATCCACTCCATAGATGGCGTTGCTGTCTAAGCGTCACCTCACCAGAGGTCAGCAGCGGCTGTGTTATGAGCTGATCAGGACGGGAAACCAGCCCCCGTGGCTGGTATATCCTGTCTTCACTAGAAGGCATCGTCCATTTGGAGGGGGTTTCGGGAGCTGACCCACAGATGGCGTGGTCGTCACTGCTCCGGGCTCGGACACTGGGCTCGGGTCCGTAACACCTCCCCACCAAAAAGAATTTGGTTTAGGTTTCTAGAAAACACAAAGGAAACGAACCAAATTAGTCAATGGCCTAGATGCGGGACAATGCGTCAGCTACCACGTTATCCACTCCTTTGATGTGCTCGATCTGGAGGGGATATTGTTGCAGATGTAGACTCCATCTGGTGAGTCTGAGGTTCTTCTGCCTAAACTGAGAAAGAAATTTTAGAGGATTATGGTCAGTTCGTACTAATATAGGGTGACCATTACTTGTTAGGTATACCTCAAAGTGTTAAACTGAACTAATTAAGGCCAACGTTTCTTTTTCTATGACGGAATAGTTGAGCTGACTGGGGGTGAACTTCTTAGAATGGTAGGCCACAGGATGTTCCACCCCCTTTTCATCCGTCTGAGATAGTACGGACCCCAGGCCATAGTCAGAAGCATCGACAGTCAGGATAAATCTATCCTCAAACTCGGGGACCTGAGGATCGGAGAAGAGATTAGAATTGCCTTTAGACTCTCAAAGGCTTCCTGGCAATTCTCATTCCACAATAGTTTTACCCCCTTCTTCAAAAGATTTGTCAGGGGGGTGGCGATGGAGGAAAAGTTAGGGACAAACTTACGATAGAAACCAGCCATACCAAGGAAACGCAAGATGTCCTTCCTGGTGGCTGGTGTAGGATACTGGACTATTGCCTCTATCTTGCTGGCCTTTGGCGCAATCCATCCTCCTCCAACCTTATGACCTAAAAAGATGACAGAGGATCTGGCAAACTCAGATTTGTGTAGGTTGACCACCAATCCTGATTGGAGCATGGCCTGGAAGAAATCCTCTATGTGACGTAGATGATCCTGCCAATTAACATCATATATTAGCACATCATCGATGTAGACCAAGGTGTTTTCCACGTCACGCAACACAATGCCCATCAGCCTCTGAAAGGTGGAGGCTGCGTTTTTCATCCCGAACGGCATCACCTGACATTCAAACAGCCCGTCGGGAGTCACAAACGCCGATATGGGTTTGGCCTTCTCCGTGAGGGGAACTTGCCAATAGCCCTTGAACAGGTCAAATTTAGTCAGGTAACGAGCTTTACCTATGGCATCGAGACATTCCTCTACCCTGGGGAGAGGATAGGTATCTGCTACAGTGACCTTATTCACCTGGCGATAACAATACAAAAACGGTATTTCTTACCAGGTTTGGGCACTAGTAGTATCGGGGATGACCATGGGCTCGAGCTCGGGGCTATTAGATGGTGTTTCAGCATGTATTCCACCTCATCTTTCACCACCCTTTTCTTCAGGGGGTTGAGTCGGTAAGGGTGTTGCTTTATAGGCCGGATTCCTTCCTCCAGCACGACATCATGCCATAGGACAGATGTTAGTCCTGGAACATCTCTGAAGATAGTCTTGTACTCCTGGATCATTTGCAACAATGATGGTTGATGTCCTTCGGCCACATGTGTCAACTTTGCCTGCAAGTTAAGTAGAATCTCTGAGTTAGTTAATACCTCTTCCTCTTCCTCAATGTCCTCTTTAGTGGTCACCATGGTTATTGGGAGCGTATCTCGACCCTCATATTTTTTGATCATGTTAACATGAACCAAAGTTTCTTTCTTCCGGCGATCTGGAGTATTAAGAAGGAAATTGTGATTAGTAACCTTCTTTAAGACCTGGTAAGGACCTACAAATCTGGCGCTCAAACTTCCAGTTACTGTAGGTGTACATACCAAAACCAGATCCCCTACTAGGAAATCTCTTTGTTTGGTCCTCTTATCATACCTGCTCTTGGTGGTTTTTTGCGTACTCTCTAAGGTTCTCGTAGCCATTTCCCACGCAGAGAACAACCGGCCTTTGTTTGTAGACAACCAGTCCACAACGTCTTCGTTGGTTTCCTTGTCTAGCCAATGGTCTCGTGCCACTTCTAAGGGACCCCTTACTGAGTGACCATAAATTATCTCGAATGGGGAGATTCCTAGTGATTCATTGGGCACTGATCTTACCGCAAATAGGAGGTAGGGCAGTTCGTCAACCCACTTACTCTGCCGGTCATAGCAAAACTTCCGAAGCATGCCCTTCAACGTCTGGTGAAAACGCTCCAAAGCTCCTTGAGACTCGGGATGGTAGGCACTGGAGGTAATCTGTTGGATTCCCAGGTCGGTGATCTGTTGGCGAAACAAATGAGACAAAGTTCGATCCCTGATCCGTCTGAATGGTCTTAGGGAGACCGTATCGCGAGACGAACCAGAGCAGATGTTTCACCAAGACCTTAGCAGTGATGGTCTTAAGGGGGATCGCTTCTGGGTACCTACTAACCCGATCTAGTATAGTGAGCAAATACTGCACCCCTGAGGTAGAAGGCGGAAGCGGGCCTACTATATCCAGGATGAGGTGCTCGAAGGGCTCACCTATGGATGGAATGGGGCATAAAGGGGCTTTGGGGACAGGCTGGTTTGCTTTTCCTGCCATCTGGCAGGTGTGGCAGGTTTTGTAAAAACGACGTACGTCCTTCTTCATATGCGGCCAATAGAAACACTTGGCTAGTCGTTGGAAAGTCTTCGAGACCCCACCATGTCCAGCAAATCTATCGGCATGGGCCGTCTCTAACAGCCTAGATCTGAACACGGCTGGGACGACTATTTGCTCACCCACCTCAGTTGACTGGGGGTATTTCGGAGGATGCCGGCGACACAGTACATCACTTGACCATACATACAGATCACCTCCTTTCGTAGGAGAGTCTAGGGTGTTGGCCAACTTCCGTACCTGAGGATCCTTCCTCTGCTCTTCTATCAGATGGGCTCGAGTCCAGTGTTCAGGAACCGGCAACTGGACGGGCGGGACTGGTGTATGGCTACTCGTAACCTGTGGGATAGGAGGAGAGTCAAACAAAGTACTTAAATCTGGTGGTGCCTGGAATTGAGCCTGAGACCTTGTTTGTACCGCCGCAATTGGACTGGTCTCGTCACACGCTGGATCTTCCACTACTACGGGACAGTTAGGTAACAAACCTAGGGCTAAGTCATTGGCCAAAATAACGTCAATCCCCTTTATGGGAAGACTATCCACCACGGACAACCGACACTCACCTTTGAAGTGCTGAGAGTCTAGACGCACCTGTACCAAAGGGGCAACGTACAAGGTGGAAGGGAATCCACCCAGGATTACCTTCTGCAACCCATTCGCCGATATACCTTCGGGTAATGAATTTTCTAAAATTAGAGACTGGGCCGCTCCACTGTCTCTGAGTATTACCACGGGCTTACCCGAGTGGCCACTGGCTACATACCCTTGGGAAGTATATGGAGCGAACAATTCTTTCCTCTTCTCTAGGGTGGATGTCGGTGGTACTATACTGTTTATCAGCATAACTTCCCTATGGGGATTATTACCTGTACTGCTACGACACTTCGCAGCAAAGTGTCCTCTCCTGCCGCAGGTCCAACACAATACGTCCCTTTTTGAACTAATCCTCCTAGGACTATCTGGGGTCGACTTGGCGGCACTACGAGGGGCGGTCTTATCCTCCGATTTATGTTTGGCTGGATATCTTGAATAGGTCTTCGGGACATACCTAGCAGACGGCCTATGAGTCAGGATGTATTCCTCAGCCATGGTGGCTGCCGCACTCAAGGTCTCTACCTGCTGTTCCTCTAGGTACGTCTTTAGATCTCCAGACAGACCGTCTTTGAAGTCCTCTAATAGTATGAGCTGCTCGAGGTCTTCTTTGGTCTCCACCTTCCGAGAGGTACACCATTCCTGGAAAAGTCGCTCCTTGATTGTGGCGAATTCGGTGAAAGTGTGCTCTGAGGTCTTTTTCAGGTTCCTGAACTTTTGCCTGTAAGCCTCGGGTACCAATTGGTAAGCCATGAGCACTACCTTCTTCACCTTGTCATAATCGCCAGAGTCATCAAGGGACAACGTGGAGTAGGCGATTTGGGCCTTCCCAGTCAAGACTGACTGCATCTTGATGGCCCAATTCTCCTTTGGCCACTCCAAAGAGGCTGCGACTTTCTCGAAGGCCGCAAAGAACTTCGAAACTTCCTTCTCGTTGAACTTCGGGACCATTTTGATGTTCCTCACCGGATCGAAAATACTTGTGTCCGTTGTTTGCCTCCGGCCAGCTAATCGCAATACTTCTAGCTCATGTTGTCTCTCCTTTTCCTCTCTGTCTCGTCGTTCTTGCCTATCTCGTTCTTCTCTTTCTCGTTCTTCTCTCTCTCGTTTCTCTTCTCTTTCTCGTTCTTCTCTCTCTCGTTTCTCTTCTCTTTCTCGTTCTTCTCTCTCTCGTTTCTCTTCTCTTTCTCGTTCTCTGTCTCGCTCTTCTTTCCTTTCTTCTAATTCTAAACGCCTCATCTCCAATTCCTTTTCTAGTCTCTCTTTCCATTTCTAATTTCTTATCTTCTCTCTCTCTCGCTTTCTCTTCTCTCTCTTTAGCGATTTCTAGCTTTTTCCATTCTATTTCACGGTGGATCTCTAGTTCACGCATTTTCACAGTAAGTAAACTTATATCCAGTTCACTCTCATCACTTTCGACATCACTGCTCTTACCTTCCTTTTCAGTGGAAGCCATTTCCTCACCTTCTTTTATACTATGTGCTTCACTTTCCTTTTTCTCCTCGGCCTTCAAGTGTTTGTGAACCTTTGACAAGATTTCCACACGAGAATCACTGGCACGTATCTCTATCTCCAGGTAGGCACTAACTAAGACGAGTTCTTGTTTCCCCAGATATTTTAATCTGGCAAGACAGTCCTCCTTGTTCAGAAAGGCCTGAACATCGTCCAGATCGTCGATGGTCGCTTTTTCTGCCATTGTCACTGAGATGGAACACTAGCACTTAACACACCGCTTTCGTTAGCACTTAACGCACCGAGCACTGTTCTACGTCAATATTGCACTTTATCGCACCTAGCGCCTCACTTGCCAATATTGCACGTAATCACCGGGCACTGCACTACACAATATTGCACTTAATCACAGCGAGCACCTGCACTACACAATATTGCACTTAATCACAGCGAGCACCGCACTCTACAATATTGCACTGAATCACTCCGAGCACCGCTCAGGACGTATAACGTCCTAATAGTCACACACAGGGGGAATTATTTACAGGGATTGCGCCACTTCACCACCCCTGTCAAACATACTTGACAAGGGGTCGGATCCCGCTGGGGATGCCAATTATGTTACGGCCCTCTTGGGTCGCAACTGGGTTCTTTCTCTGATGTTAATAGAGTTTGGGTATCCAGCCCCAAGTTAGTAGTGGCTTTCAAGGGGTGTGTTCCGTAACGCAAGTAAATTAAAGGGGAAGGGAGACAAAGGCAAAAACTTAAATATATAATTATCACCGTCACCATAAATAATATATATCTTATCACACGGGGGAGGTATAAACACTATTATATACAATCTGGTCTTCCTCTGAAGACGCGGAGTGTTCCACGGTGCTTAACGATGCTTAGCTCTTGGTCCTCTTGTGGCCTCACGATGAATCCTTAGATTATCCCAGCGAGTCTACCCTGGCCACAGGCCAGCCAAATCACAGTCCTACTGGGTGCACCGTCGTGGAGGCCGTCAACCACAAATCCAGCCTTTAGCTGGCAGGTTCCAATCAGTTCCGCTGGTTAGGCCACTCCACGACCGATACTAGGGTTGCAAGCCCTAGGCAGGAGCCTCGTGTGACTTCACAGGTCACTCTCCTCACCACACCACCCCAGTGGCTATTTTTCTCCACGAGTCAGCCCCGGGTACGACAATTCCTCAACTGCCACGTCACAGGCAGGCTAACACAACAGTGTTCATCCGGGGGGGTGACTCAACTTCTGCAGCTAATACTTGGAGACTTCACAGCTGCCTTGGGTAGACTGATCCAACTTCCATTACAGCAGTCCCAGGTCGACTCTGTAATCAGACACGTCATCAGTACTAGTTACACTCTAGAGCACCTCACTTACTGGCTTAGACACAAACGCCCACCTATCCACTCCATAGATGGCGTTGCTGTCTAAGCGTCACCTCACCAGAGGTCAGCAGCGGCTGTGTTATGAGCTGATCAGGACGGGAAACCAGCCCCCGTGGCTGGTATATCCTGTCTTCACTAGATGGCATCGTCCAATTGGGGGGGTTAAGAGAGCTGACCCACAGATGGCGTGGTCGTCACTGCTCCGGGCTCGGACGCTGGGCTTGGGTCCGTAGCAGACTGTGAGATATTTATTTATGGTAGTGGTTATATATATATATATATATATATATTTATTAGTGTATTTGTATCCCTTCCCCTTTAATTTACTTGCATTACGGAACACACCCCTTGAAAGCCACTACTAACTTGGGGACGGATACCCAAACTCTATTAACATCAGAGAAGAACCCCAGTAGCGACCCAATAGGGCCGTAACAGAGAGTGAGAGCACTCACCCCACCATGAGATTGAGAGCACTCACCCCACCATGAGATTGAGAGCACTCACCCCACCATGAGATTGAGAGCACTCACCCCACCATGAGAGAGAGAGCACTCACCCCACCATGAGAGTGAGAGACCCCTCCCCACCATGAGAGTGAGAGCACTCACCCCACCATTAGAGTGTGAGCCACCTTACCACCATGAGAGTGAGAGCACTCACCCCACCATGAGAGTGAGAGCACTCAACCCACCATGAGAGTGAGAGCACTCACCCCACAATGAGAGCGAGAGCACTCAACCCACCATGAGAGTGAGAGCCCCCTCCCCACAATGAGAGTGAGAGCACTCACCCAACCATGAGAGTGGGAGCACTCACCCCCTCATGAGAGTGAGAGCACTCACCCCACCATGAGAGCGAGAGCACTCACCCCACCATGAGTGTGAGAGCACTCACCCCACCATGAGTGTGTGGTCACTCACCCCTCCATGAGAGTCAGAGCACTCTCCCCACTATGATAGTGAGAGCACTCTCCCCATATGAGTGAGAGCATTCACCCCACCGTGAGAGTGAGTATACTGTTAAAACCCTTGAGACTTAGTACGGTTCTTTCCCCGAAGTGATTAATTATATTAAATCGGCTTTGCCAACAGGTGTCTAGGGGATAGTGAAACACTGCATCAATGTGGAAACAATGTAACTACGCTAAGGGTGACAAACATAACAATTAAATGATACAAATAATAACAAGAAACATTCTTTAGCATGCAATAATATAATTGAAACTCCTTATTGATCAATGAGCAATATCACCTGCACATGAATTATTTAATGAAATAAATGCACAATCATCTAACCAGAGAATTAACCTAATATTAGCTAAAATAACAGTAACCACGGACTTAACTTAAAACATGTCTCCTCTCGATCAATTCTGCTACACCTCTGCCCAAATCCTGGCTTGCCAGGGCGGCGTCCTACCACACATGTCAATTAACATCCACATAAACTATTATGAAAATTCTACTAACAAAATGTAGTACTAATATTCAAATCATTATAAATCTTAAGAGCACATACTGATGTTACATTACGCAGTATAATTTACTGGCAAACAATAATAAGAATTAGTCAAGGTTGAACTATAACTTCTCGCTTGACATCAAGTTCCCACACTGGCCACATCCAAATATGGTCATCCCCCACACGGAGAAATCAACATTAAAATACTTGCACAAAAGCCTCATACAATATAATGCAACTCAGGCACACTACAGCAAGCTACAATATGTAACATACAAGAATCTAATATCATACAACTGGATGCTATACAAACTATAGAACAAGACAATAAAGTATATAAGCATCAGGAGTAATGTTAGAATCCTAGTAGGATTCGTAACATACACTCACCCCACCATGAGACTGAGAGCACTCACCCCACCATGAGACTGAGTGCACTCAACCCACCATGAGAGTGAGAGCACTTACCCCACCATTACAGTCAGTATACTCACACCACAATGAGAGTGAGAGCACTCACCCGACCATGAGAGTATGAGCACTCACCCCACCATGAGAGTGAGAACACTCCCTCCACCATGAGAGTGAGAGCCCCTCCCCACTATGAGAGTGAGAGCACTCACCCCACTATGAGAGTGAGAGCACTCACCCCACCATGAGAGTGAGAGCCCCGACCCCACCATGAGAGTGAGAGCACTCAACCCACCATGAGAGTGAGAGCCCCCTCCCCACCATGAGAGTGAGAGCACTCACCCCACCATGAGAGTGAGAGCACTCACCCCACCATGAGAGTGAGAGCACTCACCCCACTATGAGAGTGAGAGACCCCTCCCCACCATGAGAGTGCGAGTACTCACCCCATGAGTGATAGCACTCAACCCACCATGAGAGTAAGAGCACTCACCCCACCATAAGAGTGAGAGCACTCACCCCATCATGAGAGTGAGAGTTCTCACCCCACCATAAGAGCGAGAGCACTCACCCCACTATGTGAGTGAGAGCACTCTCCCCACCATGAGAGTGAGATCACTCACCCTACCATGTGAGCGAGAGCACTCACTCCACCATGAGAGTGAGAGCCCCCTCCCCACCGTGAGAGTGAGAGCACTCACTCCACCATGAGAGTGAGATCACTCTCTTCACCATGAGAGTGAGAACACTCACCCCAACTTTGAGAGTGAGAGAACTCTCCCCACCATGAGAGTGAGAGTACTCTCCCCACAAGGAGAGTGAGAGCACTGACCCCACCATGCGAGTTAGAGCACTCTCCACACCATAAGAGTGAGAGCCCCCTCTCCAACGGGAGAGTGAAAGCACTCTCCCCACAATGAGAGTGAGAACACTCACCCCTCCATAAGAGTGAGAGCACTCTCCTGACCGTTTGAATGAGAGCACTCCCCCAACTATGAGAGAAAGAACACTCATCCCACCATGAAAGTGAGAGCATTCGCCCCCTCAAGAAAGCGAGAGCACACAACCTACCATGAGCGTGATAGCACTCTCCTCACCATGAGAGTTAGGGAACATTCCCCACCATGAGAGTGAGAGCACTCAACCCATTATGAGAGTGAGAGCACTCACCCCACCATGATAGTGAGAGCACTCACTCCACCGTGAGAGTGAGAGCACTCACCTCACTATGAGAGCGAGAGCACTCACCCCACTGTGTGAGTGAGAGCACTCTCCCTACCAAGAGAGTGAGATCACTCACTCAACTATGTGAGTGAGAGCACTCACTCCACCATGAGAGTGAGAGCCCCCTCCGCACCATGAGAGTGAGAGCACTCACTACACCATGAGAGTGAGAGCACTCACCCCAACCTTGAGAGTGAGAGCACTCTCCCCACTATGAGAGTGAGAGCACATTCCCCACCATGAGAGTGAGAGCACTCTCCCCACCATGAGAGTGAGAGCACTCATTCCAATCTTGAGAGTGAGAGCACTCTCCCCACTAGGAGAGTGTGAGCACACTCCCCACCATGAGAGTGAGAGCACTCTCCCCACAAGAAGAGTGAGAGCACTCACCCCACAATGTGAGTGAGAGCACTCACTCCACCATGAGAGTGAGAGCGCCCTCCCCATCATGAGAGTGAGAGCACTCACCCCATCATGAGAGTGAGAGCACTCTCCCGATAAGGAGAGTGAGAGCACTCACCCCAACCTTAAGAGAGAGAGCACTCTCCCCACCATGAGAGGGAGAGCACATTCCCCACTATGAGAATGAGAGCACTCTCCCCACAAGGAGAGTGAGAGCACTCACCCCACCATGTGAGTGAGAGCACTCTCCTAACCATGAGAGTGTTAACACTTACTCCTACCATGAGAGTGAGAGCACTCTCCCGACCGTTTCAATGAGAGAATTCTCCCCACCATGAGAGTGAGAAAACTTCCCCCACCATGAGAGTGAGAGCACTCTCCCGACCGTGAGAATAAGAACACTCTTCCCCCAATGAGAGTGAGAACACTCACACCAAAATGAGAGGGAGAGTACTCACCCCACCATGAGAGTGAGAGAACTCACCCCATCATGGGAGTGAGAGCACTCACCCCACCATGAGTGAGAGCACACTCCCCACCATGAGAGTGAGAGCACTCACTCCAATCTTGAGAGTGAAAGCACTCTCTCCACCAGGAGAGTGTGAGCACACTCCCCACCATGAGAATGAAAGCACGCTCCCCACAAGGAGAGTGAGAGCACTCACCTCACAAGGAGAGTGAGAGCACTCACCCCACCATGAGAGTGAGAGCACTCTCCCCATAAGGAGAGTGAGAGCACTCACCCCAACCTTAAGAGTGAGAGCACTCTCCCCACCATAAGCGGTAGAGCACACTCCTCACCATGAGAGTGAGAGCACTCTCCCAAGAAGGAGAGTGAGAGCACTCACCCCACCATGTGAGTGAGAGCACTCTCCTCACCATGTGAGTGAGAGCACTCTCCTAACCATGAGAGTGAGAACACTCACCCCTACCATGAGAGTGAGAGCACTCTCCCGACCGTTTGAATGAGAGCATTCTCCTCACCATGAGAGTGAGAACACTCAGCCCACCAAGAGAGTGAAAGCACTCTCCCGACCGTGAGAATGAGAGCACTCTTACCACCATGACAGTGAGAACACTCACCCCAAAATGAGAGGAAGAGCACTCACCCCACCATGAGAGTGAGAGCAATCTCCCAACCATAAGACTGAGAGCACTCTCCCCACTATAAGAGTGAGAGCACTCTCCCCACAAGGAGAGTGAGAGCACTCACCCCACCATGTGAGTGAGAGCACTCTCCCCACCATGAGAGTGAGAGCCCCCTTTCCACCGTGAGAGGGAGAGCACTCACCCCACCATGAGAGTGAGAACACTACCCCCTCCATGAGAGTGAGAGCACTCTCCCCCACCATGAAAGTGAGAACAATCACCCCAACATGAGAGTCATAGCACTCTCTCGACCGTGAAAACGAGAGCACTCTCCCCATCATAAGAGTGAGAGCACTCTCCCCACCATGAGAGTGAGAGCACTCACCCTACCATGAAAGTTAGAGCACTCACCCTGCCATAAAAGTTAGAGCACTCACCCTACCATGAAAGTTAGAGCACTCACCCTGCCATAAAAGTTAGAGCACTCACCCCATCATGAGAGTGAGAGCACCCACCCCACAATGAGACTGATAGAACTCTCACCCATATGAATGAGAGTACTAACCCCACTGTGAGAGTGAGTGCACTCATCCCTCCATGAGAGTGAGAGAACTCACCCCACAAAGTGAGTGAGAGCACTCACCCCACCATGAGAGTGAGAGCACTCAACCCACCATGAGAGTGAGAGCACTCACCTTACAAGGAAAGTGAGAGCATTCACCCCACCATGGGAGTGAGAAACCTCCCCCCACCATGAGAGTGAGAGCCTCTCCTCACCATGAGAGTGAGAGCACTCACCCCATTATGAGAAGGAGAGCACTCACCCCAGCATGAGAGTGAGAGCACTCACCCCACTATGAGAGTGAGAGCACTCTCCCCACCAAGAGAGTGAGATCACTCTCCCCACCATGTGAGTGAGAGCACTCACTCCATCAAGAGAGTGAGAGCCCTCTCCCCACCATGAGAGTGAGAGCACTCACTCCACCATAAGAGTGAGAGCACTCTCCCCACCATGAGACTGAAAACCCTCTCCCAACCCTGAAAATGAGAGCACTCACCCCACCTTGGGAGTGAGAGCACTCTCCACCACCATGAGAGTGAGAGCAGTCACCCCACCATGAGAGTGAGATTACTCACCCCACCATGTGAGTGATAGTACTCTCCTTACCATGAGAGATAGGGAACACTCCCCACCATGAGAGTGAGAGTACCCACCCCACCATGAGAGTGAGAACACACACCCCACCATGAGAGTGACAGACCCCTCCCCACCAAGAGAGTGAGATCACTCACCCCACCATGTGAGTGAGAGCACTCACTCCACCATGAGAGTGAGAGCCCCCTCCGCACCATGAGAGTGAGAGCACTCACTACACCATGAGAGTGAGAGCACTCACCCCACCATGAGTGTGAGAGCACTCTCCCTACCATGAGAGTGAGAGCACTCTCACCACCATGAAAGTGAGAGCACTCACCCCACTATTAGAGTCAGTGCACTCTCCCCACCAAGAGAGTGAGAGCACTCACCCCACCATGAGTGAGAGCACTCACCCAACCATGAGAGTGAGAACACTCCCCCAAAATGAGAGTGAGAGCCCCTCCCCAACATGAGAGTGAGAGCACTCACCCCACCATGAGAGTTAGAGCACTCACGTAACCATGATAGTGAGAGCACTCACCCCACGATGAGAGTGAGAGCACTCACCCCACCATGAGAGTGAGAGCACTCACCCCACCATGAAAGTGAGAGCACTCACCCCACCATGAAAATGAGATCACTCACCCCACCATGAGAGTGAGAGACCGCTCCCCACCATGAGAGGACGAGCACTCACGCCATGAGTGATAGTACTCAACCCACCATGATAGTGAGAGCACTCACCCCACCATAAGAGTGAGAGCACTCACCGCATCATGAGAGTGAGAGCACTCACCCCACCATGAGAGCGAGAGCACTCACCCCACTATGTGAGTGAGAGCCCCCTCCCCACCATGAGAGTGAGAGCACTCACCCCACCATAAGAGTGAGAGCACTCACCCCATTATGAGAGTGAGAGCACTCTCCCCACCTCGAGAGTGAGATCACTCAGACCATGTGAGTGAGAGCACTCACTCCACATTGAGAGTGAGAGCCCCCTCCCCACCATGAGAGTGAGAGCACTCACCCCACCATGAGAGTGAGAGTACTCTCCCCACAATGAGAGTGAGAACACTCACCCCACCATGAGAGTGAGAGCACTCACCCCACCATGAGAGTGAGAGCACACTCCCCACACGGTGCACTCTCCCCACCAAGAGAGTGAGAGCACTCACCCCACCACGAGTGAGAGCACTCACCCAACCATGAGAGTGAGAACACTCCCCCCACCATGAGAGTGAGAGCCCCTCCCCAACATGAGAGTGAGAGCACTAACCCCACCATGAGAGTTAGAGCACTCACCCCACCATGAGAGTGAAAGCACTCATCCCACCATGAGAGTGAGAGCACTCACCCCACCATGAGAGTGAAAGCACTCATCCCACCATGAGAGTGAGAGCACTCACCCCACCATGAGAGTGAGAGCACTCACCCCACCATGAGAGTGAGAGCACTCACCCCACCATGAGAGTGAGAGCACTCACCCCACCATGAGAGTGAGAGCACTCACCCCACCATGAGAGTGAGAGACCGCTCCCCACCATGAGAGGACGAGCACTCACGCCATGAGTGATAGTACTCAACCCACCATGATAGTGAGAGCACTCACCCCACCATAAGAGTGAGAGCACTCACCGCATCATGAGAGTGAGAGCACTCACCCCACCAAGAGAGCGAGAGCACTCACCCCACTATGTGAGTGAGAGCCCCATCACCACCATGAGAGTGAGAGCACTCACCCCACCATAAGAGTGAGAGCACTCACCCCATTATGAGAGTGAGAGCACTCTCCCCACCTCGAGAGTGAGATCACTCACCCGACCATGTGAGTGAGAGCACTCACTCCACATTGAGAGTGAGAGCCCCCTCCCCACCATGAGAGTGAGAGCACTCACCCCACTATGAGAGTGAGAGTACTCTCCCCACAATGAGAGTGAGAACACTCACCCCACCATGAGAGTGAGAGCACTCACCCCACCATGAGAGTGAGAGCACACTCCCCACTATTAGAGACGGTGCACTCTCCCCACCAAGAGAGTGAGAGCACTCACCCCACCACGAGTGAGAGCACTCACCCAACCATGAGAGTGAGAACACTCCCCCCACCATGAGAGTGAGAGCCCCTCCCCAACATGAGAGTGAGAGCACTCACCCCACCATGAGAGTTAGAGCACTCACCCCACCATGAGAGTGAAAGCACTCATCCCACCATGAGAGTGAGAGCACTCACCCCACCATGAGAGTGAAAGCACTCATCCCACCATGAGAGTGAGAGCACTCACCCCACCATGAGAGTGAGAGCACTCACCCCACCATGAGAGTGAGAGCACTCACCCCACAATGAGAGTGAGAGCACTCACCCCACCATGAGAGTGAAAGCACTCATCCCACCATGAGAGTGAGAGCACTCACCCCACCATGAGAGTGAGAGCACTCACCCCACCATGAGAGTGAGAGCACTCACCCCACCATGAGAGTGAGATCACTCACCCGACCATGAGAGTGAGAGATCACTCACCCCACCATGAGAGTGAGAGACCCCTCCCCACCATGAGAGTGCGAGCACTCACCCCATGAGTGATAGTATTCAACCCACCATGAGAGTGAGAGCACTCACCACATCATGAGAGTGATAGCACTCACATCACCATGAGAGCGAGAGCACTCACCCCACTATGTGAGTGAGAGCCCCCTCCCCACTATGAGAGTGAATGCACTCACCCCACCATAAGAGTGAGAGCACTCATCCCATCATGAGAGTGAGAGCACACTCCCCACCACGAGAGTGAGATCACTCACCCCACCATGTGAGTGAGAGCACTCACTCCACATTGAGAGTGAGAGCCCCCTCCCAACCATGAGAGTGAGAGCACTCACCCCACCATGAGAGTGAGATTACTCTCCCTACAATGAGAGTGAGAGCACTCACCCCACCATGAGAGTGAGAGCACTCACCCCACCATGAGAGTGAGAGCACTCTCTCCATCTTGAGAGTGAGAACACTCACCCCATCCTTGAGAGTGAGAGCCCCCTCCCCACCATGAGAGTGAGAGCACTCACCCCACTATGAGAGTGAGAGTACTCTCCCCACAATGAGAGTGAGAACACTCACCCCACCATGAGAGTGAGAGCACTCACCCCACCATGAGAGTGAGAGCACACTCCCCACTATTAGAGACGGTGCACTCTCCCCACCAAGAGAGTGGGAGCACTCACCCCACCACGAGTGAGAGCACTCACCCAACCATGAGAGTGAGAACACTCCCCCCACCATGAGAGTGAGAGCCCCTCCCCAACATGAGAGTGAGAGCACTCACCCCACCATGAGAGTTAGAGCACTCACCCCACCATGAGAGTGAAAGCACTCATCCCACCATGAGAGTGAGAGCACTCACCCCACCATGAGAGTGAAAGCACTCATCCCACCATGAGAGTGAGAGCACTCACCCCACCATGAGAGTGAGAGCACTCACCCCACCATGAGAGTGAGAGCACTCACCCCACCATGAAAGTGAGAGCACTCACCCCACCATGAAAATGAGATCACTCACCCCACCATGAGAGTGAGAGACCGCTCCCCACCATGAGAGGACGAGCACTCACGCCATGAGTGATAGTACTCAACCCACCATGATAGTGAGAGCACTCACCCCACCATAAGAGTGAGAGCACTCACCGCATCATGAGAGTGAGAGCACTCACCCCACCAAAAGAGCGAGAGCACTCACCCCACTATGTGAGTGAGAGCCCCATCACCACCATGAGAGTGAGAGCACTCACCCCACCATAAGAGTGAGAGCACTCACCCCATTATGAGAGTGAGAGCACTCTCCCCACCTCGAGAGTGAGATCACTCACCCGACCATGTGAGTGAGAGCACTCACTCCACATTGAGAGTGAGAGCCCCCTCCCCACCATGAGAGTGAGAGCACTCACCCCACTATGAGAGTGAGAGTACTCTCCCCACAATGAGAGTGAGAACACTCACCCCACCATGAGAGTGAGAGCACTCACCCCACCATGAGAGTGAGAGCACACTCCCCACTATTAGAGACGGTGCACTCTCCCCACCAAGAGAGTGAGAGCACTCACCCCACCACGAGTGAGAGCACTCACCCAACCATGAGAGTGAGAACACTCCCCCCACCATGAGAGTGAGAGCCCCTCCCCAACATGAGAGTGAGAGCACTCACCCCACCATGAGAGTTAGAGCACTCACCCCACCATGAGAGTGAAAGCACTCATCCCACCATGAGAGTGAGAGCACTCACCCCACCATGAAAGTGAAAGCACTCATCCCACCATGAGAGTGAGAGCACTCACCCCACCATGAGAGTGAGAGCACTCACCCCACCATGAGAGTGAGAGCACTCACCCCACCATGAAAGTGAGAGCACTCACCCCACCATGAAAATGAGATCACTCACCCCACCATGAGAGTGAGAGACCGCTCCCCACCATGAGAGGACGAGCACTCACGCCATGAGTGATAGTACTCAACCCACCATGATAGTGAGAGCACTCACCCCACCATAAGAGTGAGAGCACTCACCGCATCATGAGAGTGAGAGCACTCACCCCACCATGAGAGCGAGAGCACTCACCCCACTATGTGAGTGAGAGCCCCCTCCCCACCATGAGAGTGAGAGCACTCACCCCACCATAAGAGTGAGAGCACTCACCCCATTATGAGAGTGAGAGCACTCTCCCCACCTCGAGAGTGAGATCACTCACCCCACCATGTGAGTGAGAGCACTCACTCCACATTGAGAGTGAGAGCCCCCTCCCCACCATGAGAGTGAGAGCACTCACCCCACTATGAGAGTGAGAGTACTCTCCCCACAATGAGAGTGAGAACACTCACCCCACCATGAGAGTGAGAGCACTCACCCCACCATGAGAGTGAGAGCACACTCCCCACTATTAGAGTCGGTGCACTCTCCCCACCAAGAGAGTGAGAGCACTCACCCCACCACGAGTGAGAGCACTCACCCAACCATGAGAGTGAGAACACTCCCCCCACCATGAGAGTGAGAGCCCCTCCCCAACATGAGAGTGAGAGCACTCACCCCACCATGAGAGTTAGAGCACTCACCCCACAATGAGAGTGTGAGCACTCACCCCACCATGAGAGTGAGAGCACTCACCCCACCATGAGAGTGAGAGCACTCACCCCACCATGAGAGTGAGAGCACTCACCCCACCATGAGAGTGAGAGCACTCACCCCACCATGAGAGTGAGAGCACTCACCCCACAATGAGAGTGAGAGCACTCACCCCACCATGAGAGTGAAAGCACTCATCCCACCATGAGAGTGAGAGCACTCACCCCACCATGAGAGTGAGAGCACTCACCCCACCATGAGAGTGAGAGCACTCACCCCACCATGAGAGTGAGATCACTCACCCGACCATGAGAGTGAGAGATCACTCACCCCACCATGAGAGTGAGAGACCCCTCCCCACCATGAGAGTGCGAGCACTCACCCCATGAGTGATAGTATTCAACCCACCATGAGAGTG